AGTCGATGATGGATCTCCGCCATAGGATGCAGTTTTGATCCTGGAGGCATTGAGGAGAATGGAGAGGATGAATGTTGGGACCGACTCCTCCTCTGACTTTATGCTCGATCCTTCGACTGGAATTCCTGATCTTTTTGTACAAACAAGAAGAAACCCTTGGGAAGATAGGGACCGTTTTCCCCATGGTACCTCTGACGGTCAAATCAGTTTGAGAGCTTGAGTGGGGTTTAAGGGAAGGTCCTTGGGCCATTGAGGTCCTTGGAGCGTATCTTTTGAGAGTTTTTATTAGTTCTTTTTTAACCAAGGTAGGTTCCTTGTTTTTGTGAAGCAGAAGTTCCCCCAAAAATTAACTTTCCTCCTGCGTTCCTCTTTTCTCCTCCTTTTATAGTCCCTTGCCTCTGAGTGGTTGACCCTCAGCTTTGACTATACACAGGAGGCGGCTGAGAGGTGAGCAGTAGAGCTGCTGAGTCATCCTTCTCCTTCCAGATGTCAGCTAACGATTGAAAGGGAGGTCACTCAGGTACAGGGGAGAAATGGCTTCTCAGTACCCTGGATTTGTCAAAAGAGGCAGGGTATAGAATAGGTCGGCTGTTTAGCCGTCCTTCTCTCTCCAGATGGCGGCTAGCGATTGGAGGAGAAGTCATTCTTGCATAGGAGAGCATCATGGAAATCTTTGGGAAGTGACTTGTAAGCAGAAAAAGCGGCTTGGGCACGAGGCTTGTCAGAATGGAGATCTTGATGGGACTGGTCAATACTGTTGTGTCGATTAACATCTGAAGTGAGTTTGGTCGGATCTTATCCCTTTAGTCGAGGCGGGTTGATCTGCGAGCCATCATTATAATTTGCCGACCTGATAGTCGAGTGAGCTTTGGGTCGAGTGTATGGTCGAGTCGTCTGCTCGTGGAATCGTCTTAATTACGAAGGGGCGACTGATCCCGCACTTCGAGTCGGTCATGATGACCCTTGATTGAAAGATGGCTTATCTGCTCGTCTGGCCGAGAGACTTGACCTTGGCTGGGCTTTTGAGCCTCTAAGTTGGTTTGGACCATAGCTCTCTTGGGCCTATGCAGACGTTCTTCCGGCATCTCTAACTCTGTATGGTGAATTACCATAACAATACTAAACACTATAAATATTAGTATTTGAATTCATTAATGAATAGAATTTAACCTGATGTATATCTGAGTTGTTTGCTTATTAAATATTCATTTAAAATTAAAACACTTATAATTTGTACTATTATGCACATGATGTTATATTTTAAACCCACTCACCATTTCTACTGAAGTTATATATACTAATTTTTAGAGACTTAAGTAATTTTAAATCATTTTAATAAATTATTTGAATTAAATATATATACATCATAATTATTAAGGAATACTTTTTATTTATAAATTTAAATACTATTAAAAATAAAATCTTTTAGCAAAATGAATACACTTCGATATCTGATAAAAATTCATAAATATTTGTCAAATACTGAGCATTTGAGTTCGCGCGAAATCGAAAAACTCTAGATATTGATATTCAAATTTTGGTTCGAATTTGACAATTTTAAGCAAATACAAAGATGAACACTTTTGTCGATTTGATCCAATCATTTACCATCCCTAATGGTAGATCTCTTATTAGGTATTTATAGACTAAAGACAGGATTGAACGATTGTAAAATGGTCTGGCAAAACGAGGAAGAACGGGGAAGCGGAAGAAACGAGGTAGTTTGGGTTTAAAAGAATTGAATGTGAGTTTAAACCAGCTTATAAAGAAACGAGTTTCTATTTTGATAACTTAAATAGGGGTGTATAAATGGTAATACGTCAAAATAAGTTAACTCAAAAAAAAATATTTAGGGACTAACTTGTAAGAAACAACTGAATTTGAGGGCATAATAGCAACCTCAATATTTGAAGGAAAAAAATCTGAATTTATTAGAAATTTCAGAAGATTTATTTCATTCATAGGAACATCTCATATTATATGTTGTCTTCTATGAAGATGTCTAGGTTCAAAGTACTAGTGACAGTATAGTATCCTACTATTTGGAGCTTTTCTTTATGTAGGTTTCTTTGCTTATTATAGTATAGAGATTCTACAACGTGTATAAATATGAGACATTAGCATCTTATTCATAATCAATGAGAATATAAAACTTTTACTCTTTCTTTTATTTCAATACGGTATTAGAGCAAGTTCGTGAATCCTAAACATCATCCTTTCTTAACCTTGGGGCAGTTTCTTCGTGCTCGGCGGCGTTGATTTCACTTTTGGGAGAAGTCTGGGATTGAAGACCGTTGATTGGCATTAGTCCAATATTGAACTAGTCCATCTAAAAGAGTTTAATAATAATATATTGTATGGGAGAAAGATGGAGAAGCAAAAAAGGAACGAAATTTTTTATCTCTGTTTTGCCTACGGTGCTTGGCTAATGATAGTGCCCAAATAAATGCTTCACTAAGTCAGGGATTGAAGACCGTTGATTGGAATTAGTCCAATATTCAACTAGTCCATCTAAAAGAGTTTAATAATAAAATATTATATGGGAGAAAGATGGAGAAGCAAAAGGAACGAAATTTTATTCTCTGGTTTGCCTATTGTGCTCGGCTAATGATAATGCCCATTATGATTAATTACAACATATCTCCTTAATACGAATTCGATAAAGTCGTTATTCTCATCATATCCTTCAACTAATTAGACCAACGCATTTAAACTTTAAGGGTTTCTTGAGGAAGTCCGCAACTTTTTTGTTTTTTGTTTTTTTGTAGACCAACGCATTTAAACTTTAAGGGTTTCTTGAGGAAGTCCGCAACTTTTTTGTTTTTTGTTTTTTTTGAAATTAAAAGGGATTTTCTGTTAACCTACAAGCATAAGGGTGTTTCTGATATTCTGAAAGTCATGGGTGTTATCTAATAATTGTCCACAGTTAAGGGGGTTTCCTGAAATTTAGTCATTTACACATCTTACTTAACTAGAAGTTTTAACCATTTAGGGGCTGTTTGGTTCGCTAATATAAGGGGTGGAAAACTCAGTAAACCCCTTGTTTGTGGAAAATTTGCAGTAAAAAGACAATGAAAGAAAAATTGACTTGCATTCTCTCAAAATCGATTACAATTTGGATTCCGATTACAAAAGAGAGGAGAATGAATTTGATTCTCCCTTTGTTTAAAACTGGGTTCTTCTTGGTAGCGATGGAGTGCCTCCTTCGATTGCTTGCGTCGAACTTGCTCTCCGTTGACGATCCGATCGTACTATCTCACGAGAATGATTGACTTGTGTGATGAACTCGGTTTAAAACTCTTAACGAGCGATCCGATCGTACTATCTCACGAGAATGATTGACTTGTGTGATGAACTCGGTTTAAAACTCTTAACGAGTATAAGAAACTCAGAACGAGTTGGAAACTCTGACAATAGTTGTTGAAAACCGAATAACTGGCTTGGTGTAATCAACTTGCGTTGCAAGCTTAATCACGAACTCTTAAATGAGTTTCAGAACTCAGAGTGAGTTGCAACTCTGTAACAGAGTTGTTAGAACCAAAGATTCGGTTAATAGCCAAGTTGATTTGCTGTTGATGAAGGGATCCCCTCAGATTTGATTTGCTAACTACTGAGTAGTTTGTTGATCTTCAGAGAGATCTCCTCCTCCGTGCAGTTTAGCTGCTGAGATTTACTAACTTTAAACGGTTTTGGTGCCAGCACCCGTCAACCCTTTACTCAATTGAGTAATTCGGTTATTTATGGGGGGGTTAGGGGTATAACTAACCCCTAAATCTGGTCCTAAGTGGGCGAAAATCCCTCAGGACATGGGATAACGGTTTTGAGGCCGTTCGGCTTGTGTTTGAACAAGTCAAACGCCTCATTTGGCGTTCTGAACCTTAACTCTGCGTCTAAGGCTTGAGACGCAGAGTTAAACCTTTGTCAAAGGTTTGAAACGCACAGGCCGCATGCGTTCTGGAATTGGAAACGCACAGGTCGCTTGTGTGTTGAAATTCAACTCTGCGTCAAGAGTTTGGGGCGCATAGTTGAGTCTGTTTGAAGAACGCACGTTATGTGTGCGTTTTAGGCTTTAGCTCCGCGTTTGCAGAGTTAGATACCTGCTGGAGAATGCACAGGAGGTGTGCATTTTTGGATTTAAGAAACGCAGAAGTGGATTCTGCATTTAAGAAAGGTTGTTGACTTGTAGCCTCGTTCATTATAACGTTGCAAAGGCTACTGCTTGTTGATTTTTGCTTGTCATAGGATGTGAAAGTCGTCAGATTGTAACTCTCACCGTTGATTGTGAAGGCCACTGAATAAAGTTTTCATCAGCTGTCGGAAGCGTCATTGAATTGTAACTCTTCTCGATCTGTGTGAAAAGTCCTCTATTTGCAACCTTCATTTGTCGGCACGAAAGCTATTTGACTATAACTTTCATTGTTGGAACTTGATGGGGATTAATCATCCATTGTGATTTTTAGATGAATATTTGCCCACAGCTCTCTACCAAACAACTCACCAACTAAGTCCAACCTTTTATTTCTGAAATCATTACACTGCTCATCAGCATCTCTAATAGTTGCTAATATAATATTAGTCATCATGTTGTCGCAGCCATCAAGATCAATCATCTCAGAGATGAGGTCGTGTTTGTAGCGATTGTGGAGTTGCGGATGCAGTGATTAGAAAGTCGTCTGATTGTAACTTCTATTATCGGGGCTTGATAGGGATTAGCTATCCATTGTGATTTTTAGACAGCCTACAGAACCCGCTCCAAAGTTTTCGAAAGTTCGCGGTTGACTGGGACGAATTTTCGGAATACTTTGGATCCCAAAAATTTAGTTGATTGTTCACTTCGTCTGATTTGAGGATATTGCGAACCTGGTTGTTGGAATGCTGAAATCATGTTTCCTCGAACCAAACAAGATAGCTTTTGAGTCTTGATAACAATGAACTTAGTCAAACAAACTAAAGCCCAAGTCATCGTCTGACTCGCCGACAGGCTCGTCCTTTTTCCCTTCTTAGTCAAACAAACTAAAGCCCAAGTCATCGTCTGACTCGCCGACAGGCTCGTCCTTTTTCCCTTTTTTCTTAGAGGCAAGAACAGTAGCATTCTCAATAGATACAACAGAGATAACAGCAACAGCAAGGACGTTCTTGTAGGCATTGACGAACATGTGAAGCGCAGCTGCAAGAGTTGGGTAAGAGAGAGTGAAGGATAGCGAAGCAGCCATAGAAACACCATCTGCAAACTTGTCAGCGAGGTTGTCTTTCGTGAGATCGAGCAATTCTGGGCTTAAGACAGATCCATTGTCATAGACAGGGAGAATCGCAGACCCACATGGGAGGGGCTTTATCCTAAATGTGGTTAGGAGGACAGCCTCAGAAGATTCTTACTCTATTCCTTTTCTTGATCAGCTCAACTTACTCTTTGTTGGGATGTTAAGCCACTTAGAAGAATGGTTTGCGCGCTGGGCCGAATCGGCTTTCGTGCTGCTGATCACAATCTGCCTGTACCCATCCAATAGACTCCCAGCGGAGTCGTCTGTTTCCTCTCGGCTTTGGTCATCTTGATAGCTGACATTAATCTCTCTCTATTTATTTGGAACCATGTTTTGGCTTTAAACATCGAAGAATTCGTTTGGTTGAGTCAGAACGCACAGGTAAATTCTCTGTGTCCAAGAATCGAAACGCAGAGTTGAATTCTGCGTTCAGGAGCTCAATTAACGCAGACACACAGGTAGGTTCTTTGTGCTGAAGCATTAAAACGCAAGGTTGAACTCTGCGTTCAGAAGTTCAAGCAACGCAGACGCACAGGCCGCATTTGAAGGGATTCTGGGCCTAGAATCTCGCCCTAATTTGACAGCTCATAGCTGTCTATAAATACACCGCTGGGTCAAATCAAAAGTCATCCGACTTTTCAACAGTCTTTTCTCAAAAAGCTTAACGAAAATTTTGTTTTGAGCTCCGGTGAACTCTATTCATCTTCTTCGATCATCATTCTCGATGGGTTCAAGAAAGAAGATGGTCTCTCATCCGAGGTCGGCCGCTACCGTTGCTCTGAGTTCTCGGTCAACCTCGACCACCGGCGGCGATGCAACTCAGGCCGGTGTGCCGTCGGCACAGGCTTCTCTTGTCGGTGGTAAGTATCGACCTTCATGGCCACAAAACTTGATTCGGCGAGTTCTTTGAAAACCCTAGATGGGTTCTTGTAAACGAGGAAGATGACTCGTTTTTTGATATTGTAATGCAGAGTTGGAACTTTGCGTTTCGAATTTGAAACGTCGGGGTCCGACTTCTGCGTTTGGTGAAATTTAGCGCCAGGTTTGACCTGTGCGTTCGAAAGCTTAACGCTGAGTTCGACCTCTGCGTTGATAAAATTCAACGCCAGGTTCGGACCGTGCGTTTGAAAGCTTAACGCTGAGTTCGACCTCTGCGTTGATAAAGCTCAACGCCAGGTTCGAACTGTGCGTTTAAAATCTTAACGCTGAGTTCGACCTCTGCGTTGATAAAATTCAACGCCAGGTTCGGATTGTGCGTTTAAAATCTCTCAATCTTCTAGGGATTTTGATTAAAATTCCCTTTTGTTTTATTTCCTCATTGACTAACTGAGTACTTTTCTCTTTTCGCATTGCCTTACTCCCGCGAACCTCTTACTCTTCGTCACCATTTCGGGCGCGAGGGCGGCGTAGATTCCAATATGCAATTCAATCTGCGTCAGGAACTCCCAATTTTTCAGGATGGGCGCGAGGGCGGCGTAGATTCCAATATGCAATTCAATCTGCGTCAGGAACTCCCAATTTTTCAGGATGCAGACAAGGATCGTATTACCCTGATCTCAAATCCAAGCCCAGCTGTACTCAGGATTTTGGTGACAGACGCCAAATTCGAAACCGACTCCCGTAAAAAACTTACCAAACCAGCATTCCTGTTTGGCGATCATGTCGTCATCCAAAAAGAAATTGTGACTGACGGCCACTATAAGTGGTTGAGGAAAATAGGAGATCGCCGCTTCTTTCTCCCTGATATGCATAGGATGTTTCCTATCGCTTACTATCAGTGTGCTTCCATCCCTCGACATATGGATTGGGACCTTGTCCGGGAGCAAGATGGGGTAGCTATCGGGGCTTTGACCTATACAGGCGTACACACTGTAGGTTACAATCGACAAGTGTCCGCTTTGGAGCCCTGCTTGTTCTCACGGGGGTATCCTTTAGGAGAAACAGCTAGTACGGCCAACACTTTTATGCGGAGATTTCTAGCCGCGAAAGGAGAATTCCCTTCCTCAGTATTTAGAGCTCCTGGATGGGTACATTCTACCGAGACAGGATGGTGGACACGAATGACAGACTTCGTGGTAACAGAGTTAGAGGGATCTTTAGCTCAATCTGGACTTGGTTGTCCTGTAATAGCTACCAGATGTGGTGTTGACTACAGCTATTACAATTTTTTCGCTGTTCTGGAGAACTATAACCCGGAGACATGTACATTCTTCACACCAGTTGGGGAATTAGGGTTTGCCCTCCACGAAATGTATGACGTTTCGGGTCTTCCTTTTGGAGACTTGCCCTATGAGGAGTTCGTCCCAGGATCAAACGAGCTTAGGATTTTGAAGGAGAAGCATCCTGACGTCTATGACACTCTATGGGAGGTGATGTGTCATTTTCAAATCTGTGCTCAATTGACGGGGGCCCGAGGACGTGGTATAAAGCAGCTATCCTGGGCTGATTATCTATTCCAGAATTTACCCCACAAAACTGCTGATGTGTCTCGTCGGAACGTGAGTGCCCCTGAGACAATCCAAACTCTGATCAACGATGCTACGGCCCATTATGTCAACGAGGGATTGGAAGAGGATTTCCCTGCACAGACTGAGTTTGAAAGTTTCCATCACCAGGCTGCTGTGCCTATTTCTGACAGGGCCTTGTTGGCCGGCTTCCTCATGTTGTGGCTCAAGCGATGTGTCATCCCCAGGGGAAGGAGGTAGATTCTGAAGGAAAGAAGAGTCTGGTGACCCTAAATCCTCGAGTTCCCCTGCCATATACCTATTTGATGGCATGGTACGTATCTCATTGCCCTCTTTTGATGAGTGCCCCATCTCCATCGGACGAGGGGTTCATCCCTTTTGTGCAGCGATTGGAAGGAGCTTATTGGGAAGGTACATATGTAGTGAGGGTCCGTCAGATCTTGTCGAGAGACCTCAATTATCAACTATTCCGCTGTTTCCCAGACTTTGAAGGCGGTGACTATGGGCAAGTGTTCCAAGATACGGCTGGTCCAGATGGTTTTACCCGCTTAGATGGAGGGGTCTTCCACTGGCTCTTGAACATTAGACCAGGTTATCTCCTCTTTAGGCAAAATGACAAATGCATAATCGAGCCGTATCAGCCGTATCGGTTTGCTCGCCAGTTCGGGTACGACCAATTATATGTTAGGAATCCCCGGAGTCAGCTTGTAATTGTTGGTAACATATACGAAGGAGCTAGGGCCTGGTACTACTCTACTGCAGGCTGCACTGGAGCTACCTTTAGGTTACCTCACAAGACGCCCAATTTTCTTTCATCTATAGCTTTTTGTAACTGGTATCATACAGCTTCCAAGATACCTAATTACAGGTTGAATTTGTCGGGGCTACGGGAAATTAGGAGGATGTACTCATCCAGAAGAGGATCCCGGTTATCTCGTCTGAAGGGAATCAATGAGTTCTTATCCTTCGAAGATGAGACTGAAGGAGGAGGAGGAGAAGGAGATCCGGGACCGGAGAGTGCTCCAATAGCGAGCCCTAAGGCTGCTGATACTCCAAGAACCAAGGCAGCTGGAAAGAGGGTTCTTACCGAAGCAAAAGAAGTTCAGTACGAGAAACGTACTCGCAGGAAACTGCTAGTAGACCCTCCTGCTGAGAAGTTGATGGCGGATGCTTTTAAATCTGCCGGTGGAGGGGAAGAGCAAGAACCAGCTGCTGCAAGTCATCCCGATCACACAGGTCCTCATTCTGGTGGTTCTACATTTTCCGAAAAATTTTCTTCCCACTGTCCTTTGGACCCGGAAGAGGGTGGAGATGAATCCCTGATTGGGGATATGGAGGCTTCTCCTGATATTTCACCATTTCCAGAGCAAATCCCTGGTGCTTCTCTTTCATCTGCGGGGACATTACCTATGATGTCTCCCTCTAAAGGGGTTAGATCGCCCACAGGTGAACTGTTAGTAAATGAAGCTGTAAATTTTAACGAGAACCAGTCTCCTACTTCTTCTGCATTATTGCCACCCTCAGAGGCTGTTATTCCTAGCCCTACGACTGATATAATGGCCAAAGCAGATATGATTGTGAGTTCTCCTGGTCTCTCGACTGCAGATGATGAGGAACCGTTAGATTATGGAACCTCTTCTTATAACGAAGATGCTGATGAGGAGGATGGCGATGGTGACAATGATTCTGCTGGTTGGGCTGATCCACCACCACCCCCTTCTGACAAGGCGTCCGGTTATCTTCCTTTTTATTCCTCTGGTAGAAATTACACACTCTGATTTCTCTGGTGTTTCTTTCTTTTATACTGACTATTCTTTTGTGTAGGTTCTCCAACTCGTGAGGTCGCCGATACGTCATCGTCTCTCCACCCACAAGCAGCAGACGTTCCTCCCTCTGAGCCAATGCCGGTGACGATAAGTTCTTTGCCAGAAGAACCTCTTTCGCTAACGATTCCCCTCAAATCGATAGGGACTGAGAATACGCCAGGCTTAGCCCAAACAGGAGCACTCATGGTCCTTCCTTCTAGTCCTTCTCAACTGGACATCACGATGGCTTCTCCGGCTTCTTCACGGTCGTCGCCTACCATTCTTGCATCAGGATCTACGATTTTGGGCTCCCCCACGACATCTCCTGTGAAGTCTCTAAGTCCAGTGGTCATTTCTTCCATTCTTAAAGTTCTTATACGACCGTTGGAAGATATGATGAAGATAGCGATTGAGGAGGTCAGTGCCGGACGAGCTTCATTTGATTCTTTCAAGCCAATACTCATGAACTCCCTGAATAGCATCCGCTATGTGGACGATGCTCGATGGTTCCAGCACTGCTCCGAGATTATCTCTTGGTTGGAAAAAGATCTGAGGGCTTTAGAGGAATTACATCATGCCGATCTTACTGCCCAGACCACACTAGTTTTTGATGGTCTCAAGGCTGAAGCCAACCGTCAGTATGAAACTCTTCAGGAAAATATTACTGAACGGGAGCTTGAGATTGCATCTTTACAAGGGCAATGCATTCATAAACAGCACGCTGTGGATGCTTCTAATGCTGCCATACAGACGTCTCGTGCAGAAATTGATCGTCTCAAGGTGGAGTTGGCTCGACACGAGGCTGAGCTCGTGCGAGAGGAAGAGATTTTGAAAAGGCTCACACTAGAAAGTGTGAAGACTTATGCCACCTATCGTTCGTCGGTGCAGGACCTTGAACTTATCCAAAAAGAAGCTAATGCAATTGCGCCGGACGAGAGTGCACTTAGGAAGAAAGCCGAGGTGATGGTGCAGGCCGCTTACGAGGAAAAACTATCCGCTATTAAGTCCCGGCTTGCATCTTTTACTTTTGCTGGTCCAGAGGCTTAATTATGTATCGTTCTTTTTGCTTGATAAGAACAGGGCTTTTGTATCACTCTTTAATATTTCTGAGCAAAATAAAAAGAGTGATTTTGGCTTGTCTCTATTTATTGCATGTGTCGTGTTCTGACTTGCAACAATGAAACTATATGGAGAATGCCCAAATTTTTTTTTTTAATTTCCTTTATTATCATCTAAGATAATTCCAGAAAAATTTTAACTTGTTGGGGATGGGTATATGAACACTCGTTATTCCTTCGTAGGAGGATTAACTAAATCAAACGGGTTAGAGGTGTCAGAGATTTGGGAATCTATCGCTCTATTGGAAGGAGTCAGTAGATTAATTTTGTCAGCGGTATGATCTTAACCTGACATGCGAGAAATTGCGATCAGGGCAATTAGAGGGTTTATCTCTCTATTGGAGAGAGTCGATAATTGGATTTTTATCAGAGGTGTGGTGTTAACATGACAAGAAGAATATTGCTATAGGAGCAATTTTGAGGACTTATCGCTCTATTAGAGAGAGTCGATAAGTGGATTTTTGTCAGAGGTGTAATGTTAACGTGACAAGAAAAATATTGCGATAGGAGCAATTTTGAGGACTTATCGCTCTATTAGAGAGAGTCGATAAGTGGATTTTTGTCAGAGGTGTAATGTTAACATGACAAGAAGAATATTACGATAGGAGTAATTTTGAGGACTTATCGCTCTATTAGAGAGAGTCGATAAGTGGATTTTTGTCAGAGGTGTAATGTTAACATGACATCTGTGGGAAAGATATTTAGCGTCTCGCTTGGGAGGATTGCTAAAGGTTTTATCATCGGAGTGATAAATTAAATTACTTGTGGTTTGAACAAGATTTGGGGAATTTTATCACTCTATTAAAGTGAGTCGATAAATTGGATATTTACTACTCTGTTGGGGAGAGTTAGTAAATTGATCATGGTTTGAATAATTTTGGAGACTTATCGTTCCATTGATGAGAATTGATAAGTGGATTCTGACAGAGGAATTATAGCCGTATAGGTATTGATGCCAGCTAAATTCAAACTCTGTGGGGATGACATTCGTCTGAGGTGT